TGTGCCGCAGCCGCAGCTCCCGGTACACGTTCTGGATGCACTTGTCCGCTGAGGGGACACCGGGGGACACCCGGGGACGTCAGGAGGTGGCCGCAGAGGAGGAGGGCCCCTCCCCGGTGGCGGTGGTGGCACTGACCCTGGCAGAAGATGACATCCCAGGCCTGCACGTGCTGGCGCCAGGTGCGGGTGTTGAGGCGGCGCAGCAGCGCGGGCGGCAGGTGCAGCATGGGCGCCGTGGTGTGGAACATGCGCGACACGGCCTCGATGAAGCGCTGGGCCTCGGGCTCCACAAAGTCCTGCAGCAGCCCCAGGCGCTGCCCGTACAGCACGTGGCACACGGCTGGGGACGGGCACTGTCAGGGGACGTGGCATTGTCCTTGTCACCGTGGCCATGGGGACCGGCCCGGGTGCTCACAGTGACAATCAGGGACCTGGCCCTGTCCTTGTCCCCATCCCTGTGGCCACAGGGACTACCCCAGGTGCTCCCAGTGACTGTCAGGGACCTGTCCCTGTCCCCATGGCCACGCGGACCACCCCGGGTGCTCACAGGGACCATCAGGGATCTGTCCTTGTCCCTGTCCCCACGGCCATGGAGACCAGCCCCAGGTGCTGTTAGTTACCATCGGGGACCTGGCCCTGTCATTGTCCCTGTCCCCAAGGCCATGAGAACCACCTCAGGTGCTCCCAGTGACCATGAGGAACACGTCCCTGTCCTTGTCCCCATCCCTGTGGCCATGGGGACCTGGTCCAGGTGGTCCCAGTGACCATCAGGGACATGTTCCTGTCCCCAAGGCCACCTCCAGCCTTGCCATGGCCATGGGGACCTGGCTGGGCTTCCTGTTTTCTCCCGCAGGGTCGGGATTGTCCCCAGCTGGTGGCCAGTAAATGACACAAGAGGCTTTTGTCAACGGTGTCCCCGTGCTCTGGGCTTGTCTGGGGAGGGGACATCCCAAATGGAGAGGGGACATCCCACCTGGAGAAGGGACATCCCACCAGGGGAGGGGACATCCTGCCTGGGGAGGGGACATCCTTCTTCACTCTCCTTTGGGCTTTGAGGAGAAGCTGGTTGGCCAATCCCTGAGGACAGGGCTGGGGCTTTTGGGGTGTTTTGGGGGGGATTTTTGGGGTGTTTTGGGGTGTTTTGGGGGTGGTTTTGGGGGGAATTT